TCTGGGCTCGCCCGGGCGGCCCGGGAGGGTGGGCAGAGCCTCTGGGGACCCCGGCCCTGGGCCCAGCGCCCCAGCCCTGCTCTACGTGACAGGGAGGGGGCACCTGGGAAACTAGTAATCACTACAAAGATTTTTGCTTTTTAAAAACTACAACCAAAAACCATTTAAAAAAAAAAATAATAAAACCACCCCCTCCCCACACCCACCCCTCAAAAAAATCTAAAAAATACTTTTTTTCTGGGTCTTGCAGGAGAGTGGCTCCGCCGGGGCTGGTCACGCGGCCGGGCGCGCGCACTCAGCACCCCAGGCATGCGTGGCTTCGGTGGGGTGCAGTGGGGTAGGAGCAGCTGCCCCCCAGGAGAGGTTGGAGGGGGGCCAACGCTGCTGGGACCAGTAAACTCACATAACTGGGAAGGGCTGGGAGCAACTGCCTGCTCCTCGCGCCCCAAAAGCCCTAAGGCAGCCCAGCGAGTGCCCAGGCAGGCCCTGGGAGCGGGAGCAAGGCCGTGCCCGTGCCTTCTCAGGGTGAAGGGGGGGGAGCTGCCCCCAGAGAGCCAGCCCAGCCGTGGTGGTGGGGCGGGACTGTCGCCGGCCCGCAGCCCCCGGTTCAGTGGCTGCTGTTGCTCATGGAGAGCCCAGGTTGCAGCGCTTGAGGGAACATCTCGGCTTTGTGGAAGGGCGGCATGTAGACGGGAGGGGAGGGCGCCAGGCTGTAGCCCTGGGATGTCACCGGGATGGGCAGGCCGGTGGGCACCAGGGACTGGTTCATGTCATACATCACCCCCTCCGCCTCGTTGCCGAAGGGCAGCAGCAGCCGTTTGCCTTTCTGACGCCGGTTGCAGAACCAGACCCGGACCACCTGCGAGGGAGGCGAGATGGGGAAGGGTGAGGGGAACGAGCCCAGGCGCTGTGCGGGTGACAAGGAGACCCTTCTGCTGGTGGCATCTCCACAGCACAGCACCCTGCCTGCCACAGCTCCTCCTGGGGCTGGGCTCGAACAGGCCGATGGTGGCTACCCGGCCACTCTCCCACAGCTTCCAGTATCGAACTGGTCTGATGTGGGTGCTCAGGAACCGCAGCCGTTTGGGCACCCACCCTGCAAACCCTCCCAACCTACATCTTTGTCCAGGTTGAGGTCCTCGGCAATCTGGGAGATCTCCTGGGGACTGGGCTTCACGCACTTGCGGAAGAAGCTCTCCAGTGTCCCCTTCACGTTGGTCTCGATGCTGGTCCTGCGTTTTCTCTTCCGGGCTTGGGCCAACACTTGCTCTGCATTGCACATCTGGAAATGAGAGGCCACACGCTTGATCACAGGGCTAGCAATGTCCTCACCAGGCTCTGGACGCACGTGCGGCTGGCTGCAGAGGTCTGGGAGGGACGGGGGGAGGGACGGGGACAGGCTTTGTCCCCGTGACTGTCCACTGAGTGTCACCCCACTGCAACCGGAGCCGTTCACAGTGTCCCAGTACTGCCTGTAGCTGGTGCAGGGGGGATGGACACGTCTTTCTACATCACTCCAGGCTCCCCAGGGAGCAGCAAGCTGCATCTCCAGCTCATCTGCGACTCCAGCAGGACCCGGCTGCTCTGAGACGGGAGCTGCCACAGTTGTCACAAGGTGTCTGCGAGGGGATTTGGGCTCCCCCCAGCCTGGCAGAAGGCGATACCCAGTGGGTTCCCCTCACAACCGGACTGAAGCCATGGCAGCGAGATGCTGCTATGGCACAAGATGCCTGCTGCTCCCCTCCTCTCTCCCAAAAAGCACGTGCAGAAGGGATGAGAAGCTGCAGCTTGATGGCTCATCAGTGTGCGGTACCCCCGACTCCTGGCCCTCCCCAGCCCCATACCTCTTGCATGTTGTCCGTGTTCTCCGCCTCATTGAGCCAACGCTGCAGCAGTGGCTTCAGCTTGCACATGTTCTTGAAGCTGAGCTGGAGCGCTTCGAAGCGGCAGATGGTCGTCTGGCTAAACATCTTCCCTGCGTGGGCAGGCAGGGTGTCACGCACTGCTCCTGCCCCCGCGTCAGGGGATCTCCCACCTCCAGCAGCTGCCCAGGACCCCCCCCGTAGCATCCCCTGTCCTTGGGGATAGGGGACCAGGAAAGGCATTCTCCCCGCTGCTTCAGCAGGCATTTAAAGCACTGAAACACTTCAATAAGCAGCTGTAGCTATTTTAAACCAGTTCCATGTTATCAAACCCTTCCAGCTTGAGCGAGTACTTAACAGGGTGAGGGAGCCCCAGGAGCCCTGGGGCTGGTGCTCACCGCCTCCTTCGCAGGTCGTTAAGGAGCAGAAATCTCCATTGCCCAGGTGCTCCATCCCCCTCCCAGGCCTCTCCCTTCCCCCCGGGTGTGTGGGGGGAGACGAGGACCTTTCCCGGGCCCTTACCGTAGAGGGTGCCCAGAGCCAGCCCCACGTCAGCCTGGGTGAAGCCCAGCATGATGCGCTTGTGCTTGAGGTCCTTGGCGAACTGCTCCAGCTCCTCCGAGGTTGGTGCCTACCGGCGGGGGCAGAGATAAACTGAGAGGGGACAACTCACGCCCAGGGGCTGGCAAGAGCAGGGTCTGTCGGTGTGGTGGGGTCAGCGTGGGACAGGGACGGGGACAGGAGAGGGCTCACCCTTGGCAGCGCCAACACCCACCAGCCACTGTCACCTCTGGAAAGTGGGGGCCTTGGGGCGATGGG